TGAAAAAGGCAATAAGAGGAGGAAGAACAGACCCAAATATATACCAGACTCTATAAGATACTCTCTCAGGGACCCTAAGTCTCAATAAATAATTTTAAAAGAAATATCAAAGGGTACACAAAACATCGGCAGAGACTATAAAAGAGCTGGTGCACTCCTCCGAGCATCAAACTGAGACTCTTGCCATTGTTTTGGATATTCAAGGAGTGTATACAGTGCATTTCTTTAATGTCCCCCCCTTTATTTTTTTGAACGGGTCAACTCAAAAAATTGAAATTTGGGATAATGATATTAATGCATGAATACTTCATTCTGAAGTGAAATTGACAGATGAATCTTTCAAGATGGCGAGTGGGCGCCATCCAGCAAAAAGTATTATGCTTACTGAGATGTCAATTGTCAGTCACGGGCTAAAGGTGAGGTCGACTTCCTGATTTACCCAGTCCAACCTAGCTACCGTGCCTTTCGAACCAGGATGACTGGTAGGTGTTCAGATGTGTGTTACAACTCAACGTGGTAGGTATAGATAGATGTAGAACTCATTTTGGAGTGGAGCCTTCGTTCAGAAGGAGAAGGTACGTGTCTTATAAAAAGTGATATTTATAATTGAAGATTGAAATTTTGAATGTCTTTTTTCAATGATTATTATCCACGATATTATTCCATTCACGAGAGTTGTTTTAATAAACATCTCACCCGTCGGTTTGGATTGTGTAATACAAATAATCATTGTGAAAAGCATCGAGAGATACCTTGGCCCTTCTCAGTGGCGAGTTCTGAGTTAGATTTTGATAGAAGTGTAAGTCCTTCTTACTCTTATTAACAATTGTAAGTTTTTTTTATGATGTATCCCCGCTGTTTTCACCAAATTTATATATTTATGTTGTTTGAAGTGACTTCCTTCAGTTATTACAAAGTGAGCAACTAAAAAAACGACCAAATTTCATTCTCTTTCCCGACAATATGATTGATATTTCTCATCACAGGAAACTACAATTCAGTATTGCCATATTGATGATCGCTCAAGATGCTGAAGCCTTCCATATATTTGAGGATATGGTGGTTCACTGATAGCAAAGCGACCGGTCTATAGTTATTTGGAAGATGTCGATAGTTATTTGGAAGATGTTTCTTGCAATTTTTAGGAATAGGCTGAATGCGAGCAATTTTCCAACAAGAAGAAAAAACCCCTTTCGTATAAGACAGGTTGAAATGTCTGCAAAATACTGGTGCAAGTTCATTTGCGCACTTGTCACGTACGGTGATGGACACTTCATCATGGCCAGACGCTTTGTAGACATAGAGTACTTATGATGCACTGTTTGGAACCTTTGGTGTAGTAATGAATATTACTGGAGTTTTTTCCCAACACCAAATCGTTATTTTTAACACCTCGACACGTGTTTCGATCCTCTTCAAAGAGGAAGATTTGAAATGTTTACCATTCACTTTCCGATAGTACCTAATAAGGTTTGTTTAAAAATTCATCTCTTACTTAATTGAATTTTTCTGGAGTGAATTCTCCTCTTATTTCAACCATTCTAAGGAACTACGTTCGTCTATCCACCGGTTTGGATAATTTGAACAAACCTGTCATAGCGTCAGCTGGAAAGTCACTGGCGTTTGTCAATTATCCAAACCAGTAGATAGGTAGACATGGTTCCTTTGAAGAGGCCACTAGATCACCTGATATGACGCCTCCAGATGTTTTGAAGAGATGCGTGACATCTGAAGTATACAATAAACAACAACATTCTTTTTGGAACCTGTGTAAAGAAAAAGAGGAGTTTGTGAAGAAATCATCCAAGGAATATATCATGATATAGAAAATGAATTTCTGAACATACTTCATTATTGTCAGGTAGTGAAGGATAGTGATTCTTGAAATGAATATGAAATTGTTAATTACTCTGCAATAGCTATTCTGATTTTCAAAAATGACAGTATTGTCTAGAGAATTGAAATACGTTTCAACGTGATATGGCAAGACCCCGTTTCTGATTAAAAAAATGGTAGCGTCCTCTCGACGACGGGTGAGTCTTTCTTATCAACAATTACTGAAAATGATATCTTTTTACGTACATTTGTTTTTTTTTTTCGTTAGTGGGTCTTACCAGCATTAGTGCTACTTCACCGTTACTCTTTCTAGATGTTGGCTCAAAGTCAACCTAGGAACTAGAATCAATCCAAGATATTTACCCTGATAAATAAATTGTTTAGTACAGATAGATTTATTCTGACAGAGATATTTGTGGTTCCTCTACGTATTTTCTTCATTTCTTTTCATATAGTTCAATCCTAAGTTCCATTTAGTAAAATTGTGAGGTGTGGTTGGCTTTGAAATCAAACCGCTCTGTATATTGATTTTATTGGAATATAACAAAGTCTAATGTTAATACATATATAAACAGATTGAAAAAATTAGGTAAAATAGCAATGAACAACTATACCGAAGTCAAAGAAATATATATTGCCTGGTTTGTAGTGAATTGTTTATAACAGGCATTTGTTGAATTGATTTCAATGAACATTCATAACACAACACATACAAAAACCTAAAAAATATTCGACTATTGAGAGAGAAACGTCATTGATAACATTGATGAAAATGAAAGTAATACAGTTTTTTGACCAATGTATCATTTAGTGGTAATGCCAGTGAAATTATCATGTCATTACAGCTATAAAACATACACCTGATGACTCATTTGTATTGAGAAACTCCAAGAATAACCAAGAATCCCATGTACTGAAACTGACTTTTTTAGTAATCAGTCTCTCAACAAATATTTTGTATGTGAGCCTCTAACTAGTAGCTCACCAGAAGATTTGTTTTTGATAAACACCTCCAAAAACGCAAGCGTTTTTCCCACTTTCAATGTCTTAGCATCAATTTGTATTTCTTCTCCCTCTTTGGCGCCTTTGACGTATCTAAAAATGCCGAAATATTAATGGAAAATTCATACAGGAAAACCCTCTCGAATAAATAGGTATATTGATGATTATTTCACAGATACTGTTTATATTTCTTTTTTCGTTCTTGTGAAAGATATAATTTTATAGTTCAAATATTCCAAAAACATTTCAGTACAATTCATTTTGGTAATCAAACTCATATGAAAAAGATTATTCGGGGGGCAATTGAAGAAATATACATGACGTCAACATTGCCTAAATATTATAATTATTTGGTCTTTATTACTACATATATCGTGTCAAAAAAAATCTGTATAAATGTATATGTAATAGGGAGGAACGTAGTGTTTGTTTCTGATTTTTTTTCTCTATTCGTGTATTTTTCTTTTTTCATAATGATTGTATATTATATCAAGAATGTATATTTAAGAATCACAGTTTGAGAATATCATGACATAATCAGAATTTAACGTCTTTCATTCAAGATAATGTTTCTTGACAGAAGTCTATCTGAACAATGGCAAAACTTTCAGAATTACACTTCGAATTGTTTCAATATCTATCGTTTGTTCCAGAACCAATTCGCTAATCCTAGATTCTGAGGAATGTGATGAGTTGAACAAATTATATTATCAAAAGGGTTTAGAAATGTTAGAACGGTTCCGTATACATTGCATAACTATTTCATGAGATTCTATAAAAGAATGAAGGACAAATTTCCTTACGAAACGTACTTTTGGAACTGTTGATAATGTTAAGATCACTGATATAGAAATCTAGCTAATTCTCAGGGACTTAATCTCACTGCAATAGTCGGTACAAGGAATAATTGGAATTCGATGAATTCCAAATATGTTGGTGCAAAGTATGACAAAAAAGTCACTAAATATTCCTATTTTTGACTGTGTTTAGTACTGGAAATAGGATATTTCCCAGTTCATTTCAATAGTGACTGGACGTTATCTACCTCATGATTTTGATGATTTCAACTTCAAATATGAGATGAACCATAACTTCTCGATCGATCAGAATAATGTCAGTGTGAAGGTAGAGAAAGACCATTTCCAAAGTATTACCTTCAGTAGAAATGTGAATTATATGAGATATGAAGTGACTGTATACACAAACATTTTTATATGAAACTGACGTATAAACAATCACCTGTCTGCCATAAAGCTGAATATTATTATTTGATTGAACCATATCTATTGAAGCAAACAACATTTTGAAATTCAATTCAGCTAGTGTTTGGTTCATCATGGAAATCTAATATATAAAAATGAATGTTTGTTTGTTGGTTGCTTGGTTGGTTGGTAGATAAACTTCTAAATCGCTCAACGGATCGTAATGAAACTTGACATGTATAAGTAATTTTTCAAAGAGAAGGTTTTAAGGCTATCAATGTTTCTGTTACTCGCCACTAGATGGCGCTGTAGAATATTTTTTTAAAGCATTGTTCTATAACGCTGCGCATGCCTAGGTTGGTTGATTCTGATTCTGCAGCGATACAGCAACATAGTACTAGTGGAATATAAAGGAGATCAATTGATTTCATACTAACGTCATATTCATTTCAACAGAAACGCTGATATTGGGACCATTCCGGTGTGAATGCAATGCCCAAGAAGAGATACTGTCAACCAAGGTAGCAGATAAACCACCATGCAATGTTCCCATAGGATTCACATGTTCCGGACCTATTCTCAGTTCTGCCAGGCAACTTCCGTTTTCCAGATGTGTGACGTTAACCTTAAAAACATCATTAAAATCTCACTTGTTTTTAAGAAATCACGGAGAATCAGTAATAATTTTATCACTACCTATCAAATCAAACCCTCCTGCTGAGTTTGTCTGTCTGTTCATTTGAATGTGAGATCTAACTTTCAGGGGTGGGAAGGGGGATAGGTGATTTCTGAATTTAGGGAGCGGGTAATTTTCAGGGGAAATAATTTATACAGTGTACTCCCCAAAGTATGCACCATATGGAAAACTTATTTATTAAGGGTTTTTCGACAAAAAGTTATTCTTCATAAAAGTTTCTGCACCTTCTAAAACTAAGCATGCACCAATGAAAGACAATGAAACATACGTAATATACGAGGAACCTTCAAATATTTGAGACAAGAGTAAAGTACTCTTATTTTGAAAAATTTTGGGAAATATTATTTAGAAAAGTTGTTCAGCATCAAAAAATACATCTAGATTTGATGTCATGACTATCTTAATGAAGTTTTATTTTTTAACCATTTTTTTTCAATGGAGACTACGAAAAAAAAAGTTGCTAAAACGATAAATAGGCAGCATCCTGTATACGACGTTTTATTTTGCAAGCCTGCAATATTACAAATTACACAACTATGGTGTTAACCACGGTAACACCATCAGGGGAACATCGGCGTTGATGCAAAGCAACGCCTTTGAAAGTCTCGTTTTTTATTTATCTTCGTGTCCTGAGTCTTTCATCGATCCCCTAGATAGTGTCTTTGTGAGGTGGTGACAATTCATCAACTTTTCTTTACCGAAGAGAATAGTTCGAGAGTGAAGAAATCGACAGTGAAATAGTGAAATAAGTTCGATAATTACAAAGTTCAATTGAAGTTAATTGTATGATTGAATTTCAATCAGCGCAACATTTTTTAATTTATTGAGAACCAACGCCATCACGTATTATCAGTTAAAGGAAGAGGAAGAGAAGTCTGGAATTCGGAACAATTCTTGAAAATTTTATCAACTGGATTGAATTGAATGTAAAAGGCAACTTAATGAAATTAACTGATTTGAAAATGTTATGCACTGCACCTGATTGAATTCAATTTGATTTTAGGGGCTATCGTGTACTGAAATTTGTTAGTTGTTATAAATCATTCAAGCTGTGTAATTCATATTTCACTTTGACTGTTTAAATAACCACGTTAGCAGGTATTTAAAACAATACTGAAATTATCGGAACGTGACCTACCTAAAATTTGGAAACTATACTTTTTATATATAACTTCATCACGCCTCGAACTGATATACTGCAGAAAAAGTTTGAACATTAAAGTTGACTGCAATAGAGGATATTTGATTAACGAAGTTCACATCTGAAGAAAAAAGATGTGACCCGGTATTAAAAAAAGTATAGTAAGCTACAGAATGATATTGTTATTTTAAGATAATAAATGAAATATATATCTAGGAATGTAGAAAACTTCATATATCAATAATTTTAGGTACTTAAACCTCCCACAAATACCATCACCGGCAATAGATGATATATTTCATTCCTGATGAAAAAAAAAGTTTCCCGTTAACCAACTGAGAAAATTTTGATTTGTAATGGGAGCCGCTTTTATTTTCCTCATATGAACGAGGTTATGTGGAAAAATAGTTTATTTTCATTGCCCTTAGATGAAATTAAACTGAACTTCGCCTTTTATTATCCTGTAAAAAAATTCATATTCCATAAAACTGTTGTTAACTTACTATTGGAGATGAATTATTATAATTATTATTTTTTCTCCACCAAATTTTGCGCTAGTCGGGCCCTATCCCACGAAGCCCCGATACATTCGGGAAGACGCACCAGCATCATCAACCTACGACCACCCCTGCACCTTGGGGTTCTATTCAATTTGTATTAGTGACCTAGGGGTGGGGAGACAGGCATGCCAGTTGAGATTACATGGACGACAGGAAGATGTCCCCTTGGATTTAAAATAGACGTGTTTTTGCAATATTGCCTCAGCACATGTGTTTTTAAGGATTCGTTTTCGGCGCCGGGTCGAATCGAACCATAATTACAAATGTCGCCCGCCATCTTGTTTTTTGTATCGACAAAAATCATTATTTCCGACCCTGAAAATCCCCACTTACTAATTTTGATTCGAATCAGACCATAATTACAAATTTCGTCCGCCATCTTGGAGCCACCATATTGTTTTTTTGCATTGACAAACAAATCATAATTTCCGACCCTGAAAACCACCACTTATCAATTTTGAATCAAATCAGACCATAATTGCAAATCTTGTCCGTAATTGTGGAGCCGCCATTTTGTTTTTTCCCTTAGAAAAAATCCATAATGCATTGTCACCGAATTAATGCTGAATTAGCTTGCAAATGGAGTATCATAATTTAAAATACGAAACAGTTTTCTTCCCGCAAGAGGGCGTCAAAATATAAAGTTATGGGTAGCGAAAATTGACATGGTCGAATTCCCTATGAAATTACCTTTATAATGATGTGTCACACTCACTACTTTCCCTATTCAAATTGTTTGGGTGATAGAGACCGAGGGGTGGGGGAGAGGTACGACAGTTGAGGTTATGATAGAAAGATGTCCCCCTTGGATTACAAATCTAGGTGTTTTTGCATTTTTTTTTTCAGAAAACGTGTTTTGAAGTTACCTATTCGATCCCCACCCTGTATATTGCAGAGTTCACCTAAGTTGTAGCCGACGATGTTTCTAGGTTTGTATACAAGGATTTTGATTATATGATGTGTAAATAATTCAAACTTCGTGTGAGTATTTTTCAATAGGTTAGTTTTTCTTATGTACAATTTTCTTCAATTCCTTTGTTCTACATATATGCTCTGGAACTATACGCTGCAACTGAAAGTATCTGTCTTGATAATAAAAAAAATATTCTCAACTACATACTATGGTGAAAGATAATCTGGTTCATTTGTTATGTTGTTATAACGACTAACCTGCTGATAAGGATTTCATTAGCATGAAAATTATAAATATACTTATCATTAATTTCGAAGAATCCAAAGTCTGGTAATTAATGCGTGATGACTGAATATTTTGACTTTTATTGGCTTGAGCAAATTTGGCGTCATAAAACTAATTATGAATAAAATGAAAAGAATGAGATCTATATAATTTTTGGTATAGTTATTTTGTATCGCTCGTAAAATAAACCATAAGATGAAAAAATATCGAAGAACTATCAACGAAATCATTTATAATTTTTCCAAAACTGAAAGAGGTCCACTTTATCATAGATAAATATCAGTAATTGAATATTAAGTACACCTAAAGGGTTTGAAGTGACGTGTTAATAAAGCGAGACGAACACTCTGTTCAGTATATACAATCACGTTATGAGTCGAGATGCACGAGTATATTTGATTAATTTAAATATACGTCAGTGAAGTGTAGTAGCAAAAATATGAATATTACTGGAGTTTTTTCCCAACACCCAAACCGTTACTGTAACACCTCGACACGTGTTTCGATCACCAAGTGATCATCTTCAAAAGAAAGATCAAACTAAGTGATCATCTTCACGAGGATTATCGAACAGTGTTGGGATAAAATCTCCAGTAATATTCATTACTACACCAAAGGTTCCGAACAGTGCCACACAAGAAAGATTAAAGTTTAATCTTCCTCTTGAAGATGATCACTTGGTGATCGAAACACGTGTGGAGGTGTTAAAAATAACGGTTTGGTGTTGGAATAAAAAGTCCAGTAATACTAATTATTACACCAAAGGTTCCGAGCAGTGCCTCACAAGGAAGATTGAAGTTCAAAGTTTAATATTCATCTTGAAGATGATCACTTGGTAATCGAAACACGTGTCAAGGTGTTAAAAATAACGGTTTTGTGTTGGGATAAAAACTCCAGTAATATTTACTCCCAAATTAGCAAATTGTACCGAGAAATTAGATGGTGATCAATATTCGTGCTGCTTCAGTCCAATGTGGGCAACATCCATTCAAGCATATTCAAATTATTATTTGGAAACAAGAGTCGATATGAAAATATGAGTTGATACTTGAATTCGATTCAAATCTTTTCCATCGTTAACCGAAAACCAGGTTGAGAATGAATCGATACAACTGAATTCGATTTGAAATGTCCAATCCAGGAAAAAATAGTATGCTTAAACAGTCCAACCTAGCTACAGTGTCTGTATGTCTGTCCGTCAGTCACAGCGAATCAGCACGGGCAGTAGATTTTCAGATCTGTGCTACACCCCAACATGATACGTATAGATAGGTGTATATAACTCATTTTGATGAGTGGATTCTTCGTTCAGAAAAAGAAGGTATGTGGCATTTCCAATTGAAGATTGAAATTTTGGATGTCTTTTCCTAATGATTATTATCCACGATGTTATTCCATTCACGTGAGTTGTTTCAATAAACATCTCACCCGTCGGTTTGGATTGTTGGATACAAATAATCATTGTAAAAAGCATCGAGAGATTCCTTGGCCCTTCTCAGTGGGTGGTGAGTTCTGAGTTTGATAGAAGGGTAAGCCCTTCTTACTCTCACTAACAATTGTAAGTTTTTTTATTATGTACACTCGTTGTTTTGACCAAATTTATATATTTGTGTTGTTTGAAGTGATTACCTTCAGTTATTACAAAGTGAGCAACTAAAAAAACGACCCAATTTTCATTCTCTTTCCCGACAATATGATTGATATTTCTCATCACAGGAAACTTCAATTAAGTATGTATTAAAAATCTTCAAAAGAACACAGAAATGCAATTAGACTAGAGAGTGAGTCCACATCCAAGAAAAGTGTTCAGATATTTAGACAACCTGCAGAATTGAATGAAGAAAGTATAATCATTTCAATCTGTGTAAACGATGACTTGTTTATTTTGTAGAAATTCATGACCGCTTCGTTGAAATGAATGAAAACACTTTCTAATTTTCAATTAGTTTTATACTTGATAATGGGATAAAACCCGAAAACGGTCGTAAAATAAAATTACTAGCGAAAATTAGGAAAAAGTGTTTTCATTCATTTCATTAAAATCATAATCATTCTAATTCATTTTACAAATATCTTTCAATTATTCATATTCACAAATAATGGTAACAAAACGTTGGTTGTGGAAAGCATCTTTCAGCAAAATTTTTGAAAATCAATTGATAAGGTTCCACATATGATTTGTTTTGGTAAAAAAGGAACAGAAAGACAGAAAAAAGTATGTACCTTTTGTAAGCATTTTTCATATCCACTCCTACTTAACAATCTAGCTAAGTTGTCGACTTTAGATAGAGTTGGTCTGACTGTACTCATATTCTACTCGATGATAACTATAGAACTGAAACTGCACAATAGTGAAAAAATATTCGATTTCAAAGAGAGTGATTAGTGTGAGGGTCAGCTGTGGCAATCAGTTAATTTTGTTACAGAACCGGAGTCGCTTAAATGGATAGTCTTGGTACTGGGACTGAAATGTCATCATATAACTATCCATCTTTATCAATCAATCAATCATTTATTTGATGCTGTGTAGCTTACAAAAGTCGATATATTCTTTTTTCTTCAATAAAATAATTTGTATGTAATAATAATTATTGTTATAGAAAATGATTTATTTCCCAATTTAGTGACAATTAATTTATACTAGTTTGGCATTTAGTAGTAGTGTCGTCTCATCTGTTAGTTGGGATCAATACAAACAGTATCTAATTGAATACAACAATTCCGCTTTCTGCTTCGATAAGTTTGTTGGGGGTTAAAATGGATACCAATATGTCTTGGCACAATCATGTTGCTGGAATTGCACAGGCTGCTTCTGTACACACCTCAACAACTTTTGATGCTTTATAAAGCTCAGATCACGCCTTATTTGGAGTATTGTTCTCATGTAGAGAGCATGCCCCCAAACTTACCCTGAAGTTGCTGGATTCCATCCAGCAAAGAGCCATCCACCTGATCGGACACGATAATATCACGTGCAACCTTGATAGCCTAGAACATCGAAGAAAGGTTGAAGATTTGTCTCTCTTCTATAGATACTTCCACGGGAGATGTTCAAGTGACACATTTGATTCCACCAAGAGCGGTTCATATCAGAAATACGCGATGGACTGTGACTGCTCAACATTTTTAGGTTCAACTCAGTACACCTCAAACTTCACTGTTTAAGAACCGCTCTGAGTGTGCTTTGAGGATTTTCCTATAGTGCTCGTGTTTTGTCCTTGAAAAATAAGAGAGACTCATGAAAAAGGCAATAAGAGGAGGAAGAACAGACCCAAATATATACCAGACTCTATAAGATACTCTCTCAGGGACCCTAAGTCTCAATAAATAATTTCAAAAGAAATATCAAAGGGTACACAAAACATCGGCAGAGACTATAAAAGAGCTGGTGCACTCCTCCGGCCCAAAAATTACAAATTTAACACTGGAAACCCGGACAAATTCAGACCTGGGGACTCCTCAAAGAGCGTCCAGGGAGGTTTGGCTGGTGGCAAAGAGAGTGGTCACTTTATGAGTCGCCACTACCAGATGACATTCACCCAACAATGCTGCAGGGAGACAGATGGAGGTGGCCACACCTTCATTCCGAAACCTGGTAAAATCGGACAAGACCGAAACTAACAAATTCATTACTATTACGTTTATTATTAAAGATACATGAATAAAAAACATATTCCTGGAACTTCTATCTAACTGAAAGTAGCCGTAATAAAATAAGTTTTCTTCGAATTATTCAATTTATTGCAAAAAGCTTTCTTTTTCAATAAGTTTGATCACGCACTGTTTTACTACTTTATAAATGAATGGATGAAAGTTTGGATGATTATTGTGACTAGGAAGAAAATAAATACAATTTTCTAAAGATGAATTATTCGAGTTCCGACAACCTGATTAGCGTAGCAAGAACTTCGTGTGAGCACCTTTGACTAGGAGATCCCCAGATGACTTGTTTTTGATGAAAACTTCAAGAAATGCAAGAGTTTTTCCAACCTTCAGAGTATTTGCCTCAATTTTTATATCTTCTCCTATTTTGGCACCTTTCAGATATCTGAAAAATATAGGAAACATTTTTAAATACTATCACTAATCAACTACATATAAATTCAACTATATTCTGTTGATATTCAAATTTAAAATAGTTTCGGAATCGATTTTGAATAGTTCACTTGGTGATGTTAGGTACAGTTTATAATATCAGTATCTTTTGTCAAGTTTGAGGGATTTCTTTCTAACGTTTCGCCAGCACGTATAACTAGTTTTTCAGAGAATTTCCATTTCATATATTGAAAACGGACTGTTGTGTCCTCGGTCGGAGGTTATGTTAATACTCTGAACAAGATGGTGGGGAGAAGAGAGACTACGACAAAGTAGGTAGCGTGTTATCTTCGTTCTGGCGAGAATTGGGTTCCACGAGCTTTTAGTGTTTCTTATTTCCCATTGAAATTATCCGTATGTTTGCCAATTCGTATCATCTCTTGCACTAGCTGACTGATATTTCTCGGCTGGCGCTATCCAGCCGAGAAATATCGCTGGCCTCAACTTCTATAAAAATGATTTGGTATTTTCCTTCACTAAGCGTATGTTTCGCAGATGATTTATCTGTTTGTCCCAATCAGCATTTTTTTTGCCTCTTCATCCTAGTTTGAACATAGTTTGAAATATACCCCAGCAGCAGAGAGTGGTTCCCCGCGATCTTTGACCGATTGCAGATAATCCCTTATCATTTTTGTTCGTTTAAATATGATTGACTCACGGTTAGTTCATCGCGACTTGTGATAATACGAATAAAATTGATGATTATATTTCATTCCAAAACAGACAATCGTGAACACGAATTGTTACTTTATAGGAGTATTATGTTCCCGATTGAAAATGCGAGTAAATGGTTTATTCTAAATTTAGAATGTTAACAGATAATTGCTTCTTTTTCACTTAGAACTGAGCAACAGGATATAAGCCGAAAAATCAAATGAAGTCGACACACTTCAGAAAATTGTAGATTACTAATTAGCCTATTTGATTTCTGATCGTATCTTAAAAAACAGATCAGCCAATGATCTTAGGGAAAGGCAGTAACTTCACCACCATGCCAAGGCACATCCCAAGTTATGAAATTAGAGCCTGAATGTAAGCAGTCATCAAGTCATTGGCGAAGACTAAACCACCTGAGAATAACCTTATTAGTAGTGAATTCCAGGCGATCAGAAACCTAAACCTCTAGAAAGGTATTGTTTTCACCTGCGAGTAAGAGTTATTACAACCAGAAAATTAAAGAGTGTCTTGAACTAACTGGTGATATTATGGATCAGAAGCTGTTTCCCCTCGACTCTGTGGAATACCAAAAATTAAAAATCGCAAAATTCCGCTGATACCTATTGTTGGTGCGCCTGGCTGTCCAACCTATATTTGTGCCAAATACTTTACTAGGTTTCTGCAACTACCTGTATATTCGGAATATTTCAAATGAAAAAATTTTTTTTTTTCAATTCAGTGTCTTCCGTGTCAATTATTTTTTCAGAAACTTTGTGATAACGAGATAGATTGCGTTATCTAATATATTCCGATTGACATAAATCCATATATTTCATTATGTTCTACATGCATACAAAATTACCCTGAGCTTTTCAGCAATATTCAGTACCACGAATTGGCTTGTCGAGTACGCTTCTAACAATATATATTGTTAACTGAAGGAAGCGAAAAATCATTTATGATTTTCTCCCACAAAAGGTACTTGTCTTATTAGAGACTTTTTCACGTGCTCGAGCCATTTTTGAGATAAATATTGAAAAAACTTCCAGAAGTTGTGTGCCTTTTGGACAACGACATATTAATTGCTGTCATCAGTCGTTTACATGTTTAAAGGTTAAATAAATGTGTATGATGGAATGGGGAATGTTCCTCCAAAGTCAAGTAGTTTTCATAAAAGAGCTTTAAAAAAACGCATTTTAAACTTATCAGTTCAACCTTTTTCTTTAAAAAAATTATTTAAATACTTAAAAAAGAGGAATGAAATAATGCATTCAAAATTTTAAGGATTTCTTTTTTATTTCACCATTTGGCAACATCGGTTATAGCTAATAAAGGACAATGAATCTGTTACCTGTATGAGACAAGCGAAGATGACATATTTCAGAGGCGTGCTGTTCTGTTTACTTATGTTCCGAGTTCCCAAACATTCTGTGATATATGACATTTTGTGTACCTAACCTATCTTCCTTTATATAAATAAATAACAAAACAACTGTTGTGAAGGTGGTATTGAACTATAATTTATATTTTGCCTTATTTGTTGATTTATAAAGATAATTTTCATTTTTTAAAGTAGAATATCTAGGTACGTATAAATTATTTCAACTTGATATAGGCGCTGTTGCCAATATGTGAATTAGAAACAAATTCTTCTAAAAATTAAAACCCAACATTTGAAACATTAATTTGAATACTTTTCGAAATGAATTTGAAAAACTCATGAATTAAACTCAACTTTATTTTGTTCAAACTTGCATTTGCTGTAATAACCCAAATTGAGGAACATTCCCCATTGGCCGATACTTGATGAGAATCCACAACTATCGTATTCAAAAAACACTTCATTGTGAGATTTTGCCTTAACAGTTTTTGTAAAACTGTTTAGGGAAATAAACACAATAAAGTGTTTTTTGAATACGTTAAACAGATGTGCTTCGTGTTCGAAAATGTCATATATGTGATGATAGCGTCAATACTTCATCATTTCCTGAGATAATCATCCATTTTTTTAAGGACAAAACACAAGTGCTACAGAAAAATCCTTAAGGCATTCCCAGAGTGGTACCTGTGCGAAAGTATCGATTCACAATGGATTTGAATCGCTGGAGATTAAATCCATTTGGAAAAACGTTCTCAGGAAGTTTATTCCACATGAACGCAGTTCTCCAGATGAAAGAGGTCTTAAATATTGTAGTTCGAGATGTACTTAATTGAACCTCAAAACGATGAGCAACCACTCTCGCACTCTCGATGACTGGAAAGTTTCAAGAGTCTTAGCACATGATGACCCAAATAAATGATGAAATGAATAGTTGATGCTTGCAGTGCAGAACTTGTTGCAACTTATAGCAATGTTGAGGATGATGATAGTTCAAAACGTACTTCTTTACAACTCGAAAAAACAGTGATTGTTTAGTGTGTATGCTCTGTACTGCCTGCAAACCAAATGTCCACTATAAATTCCTTTCAGCGCTAGGCATACATAATGTTTACCCATTCTCATGATCGGCCACAAAATTTACTACTAACAAAAAGAAACTGGTTATTACAAAAGAACATCAGCTAACTGTGGATCAGGGTTGTTCAATATGGGATTGTGGATATGTATTCCTGTTCGTTAAAAAACATACAACAGCTCATACACTCCACACATTTGAGGATCCTGAAATAAAAATCTCCAGCTCGTGTACATGTGTGGTGACTTTGACTATTCTTTCTTCACTATAAAACTGGAACATATGATATAGTAGCAGGGGAGCCCACGATGCAAAATGGGGATTTACTCGAGCGTCATTGAGACATATTAGGATGCAAAGCTTAGATGATAAGAAGAGAAAAAAGTTATATAATATATACCTTTTCATCGGTGGGGGAAGCGGCTATAGATTTTTAAATATGTAAAAAAATACTGTTGCATGGACATACTCGAGCGCGTCATATATTGATAGAATCAATGTCCTACGTATTTTCAATAATGTTGGTATGTTAATCTGATCGTTTGCATGATGTGGGTGGTTGTACTTAAGGATTAAAAGTGAAAAGAAAAAAATTTATTCGAGCGCATCAAATTTTCTAAGGAGGTGTTAAGTGCAACAAAAAAAAAGCTCTCATTCAATAATCTGACGATTTCGATCTGACGCAAACACGCGGCCATTATTATAATGTGCAAAAAAAATCGCCATTTTGAAATAATCAANTGGTCTTCTTTGGTTACAATCTTCAAAAGTTTAAACTGCAACTGCGGCAGTCATTTTCAGTGGCGTCGTCGAGGTACTTTTCTTGACGTGTCAACTGATCACGGCAAAATCAGGAAACCAACCAAAACATTGACGCCATAGCCGTGAAAGCCTACATTCCTATAATACCACTGTATCTAAAAGTAACATCAGCTAGTTTTCATTTAAATATACCTACGAGATGAGGACCAACGCGGTTGATTATATTTTGTAGTTCACACAGGCTCGGCCAAAACCTGTTGTATTTGAAGAAATTCCATAATTACTGCAGTTAAACCTATAAGCTGTGAACTTGAACTAAATTGCAGTCAACTCTAAATTGTAGCCATGCGAAGCTGGAGTGTATCGTTAGTATGTCATAAGACCGATATCTGGATATTAAAATATTCTAGTACATGTTTTAACTCGTAGGTTATCAAAGACGCATCATCAGATGCTTTTCAGTTTGTTCGCTTAATGTTCTCTCTACTTTCTAGCGTAATATACTAACGTCATATTCATTTCGACTGATACGCTGGGATATTCACCACCTGCGTGTGACATCAACGCCCAGCTGGATACATTATCCACCAGAGTTGCTGATAAACCGCCATGTAAGGTACCCAATGAATTTGTATGTTCTTCTGACACGTTCATTTCAGCATGACAATAACCATCCTTCAGATGAACCACAGTAACCTGCGAAGGAAAAATATCAGTGGACTACTAGTTCTCTATGTTAGTTGTATGATTATTTTTAATGCGTTAGTGTTTTTTACGACAAGCGCTGGTTAGAAGAATGGAGAGAATCGTTATAATTTAAATTTGTAATTTCGTGACTGGAGACCTTCAGTGACCCCTACTTCTTATCATTCACAGTGATTATTCATGCATTTTCGTGGTGGTAAACTATTCTTTATGCCAATGACATCTTCTTTATCTTTGAACTGAGTGGAATATCAGAAGTCAAAAGACCTTGAAAATAATGCCAATACCCGTTTTATAGTTAAGGAATTCAAAATAAATAATATCTAGACAGAGCTTCGAAATACGGATCGAAATACGGATCAGCGTATCCATCACTAATATATTTTAAATATTACCAGCTTCGATATTTTGAAAACTACTCATTTTCAAATCGAAACGGGTATTTTTCAAGAGAAATTAGTTTTTGGAAAAAAACGTTCTGGCTTTCACTTCTTTATCTTCATGAAAAAATTGTGGTAGACTTCCAAATAAAGCAATTGAGTTTATTTTTCAAGTTTTCATTCTTACATTGATAATAATATATTCCGTTGAGTTTCCTGAAAACCTCAAAATTACAAAAAACGAGACTGACAGATCTGAGATTTCGAGACAATTGCCAGCCAACACCACACAAGAAATAATGGAAAGGTTCACACGATTCGAGGCCGCTTAGCTGAATAATAGAAAAATCACTGGAACATTTAATAGGCACAACAGCATTTTTACTTCGACTCGATGCTGCAACCAGAACAGTCTGCAAAGGTTCAACTCCTTAGCAACTTACAGCAGAAGTGACGTGCTTGGGCTCATTTTTAAAATTCAATGAGTAACCGCAGAGTCACTGACTTTGGCTAGGGATTTGATATAGACATAATGGTTTTCATGACTTTTGAGTTTTTTCAATTTTTAATTTTGTTGTTTATTGTTCCAAAAAAGTACTAAAGTGAAAATTTTGGTGAGTGTTTGTTAATGACTGAAAAATTGTTTGATTTCAAGTGTTTTTTTATTTTATAAATATTTCCATGTACCATCATTAGGTCTCGCTGCCACTGACTACTGCCACCAAAGTAAAAGATACCAGCAGAAGCTGTTTTTCTTAAACAGTAACATGTACTTTTAATTACTGATTGACTTCTAATTGAAAACCGCGGGGGCCGAAATAGTGACTGGACATATAAGTTCAAGTTTTTGGGAGTTGTACGACGTGGAAAATATATTAGAAGTTTGTATTACCGACACATTTTTTTGTATCAAGATGGAGTAGTAGAAAGCCAAAAACTTTCTATTCCAAAATATATTTGTTGGAGTTTTGAAAATAATCTATGGTACAGAAAGAAAATAAGAATTATATCTATTCGAGTAATTATCAAGACAATAATAAATGATATTTATTTGATGATCATCAAATTACCGTAACGAACATTACTAATTTGAAAATTACAAATTACAAAAAATAAAGACACCTTGTATAAAAATTCTACGATCATATTATGTTAGTAAAATGAAAGTTACATTGGTATAGTGTGGTCAGATCTGCAATATCTCTACAAATAAAAAAGATACAGCCTAAAATGGAATTTCGAAATTTTCGGTTTTTCCTGTATATCTCCAGAACTAAGAAAGTTAAAGTCAAATTTTCAGTGGCATTCAATAAAACCCGAAAATAGACAACTTGGTCACAATTTAACCGACTCTAAACACATCTCAACAGTTTACGAGATTCTCATACATAGACTCGAATATCCCTGTATAAACGACCTATGGACGACGGATGGATTATAATATGTGATATAAGTATTCGTTATATCGGTCAATTATAAGCATATTTATACCTACAGTGAGGAAGTGAAATTTCGAGTTTGATTATTTTTATTTTCACCTGGGTACGCCCCTGGTGATTCGTGCATAAGCATTTAAGCACATTAGTGATCCTTAGTCAACATAAATGATAAATTTACAATAAATATACAGGAAAAGTGCTCAGTGTGGCTTCAACCGGATGTAGACAATGATTAAAGCGGATATTTGGAAGTTTTGTTAGTCAAAAACAGATTTAAATAAAAATAAAGACACACATATCCTCAATTACGTTAGCTTTTAATCGGGTTTTAAGGATGAAAATATATCTTTACCTTTCGTAATATTTGGTCATGTCCCTTGGCATTTTTCAAATGTTTTGCAATATGCTGGGCTCCAATTCTGACTGGGGCACTCATATGGACTTCTTGATTCACTTGTAGTGTTCAACGAAACATTAAAAATTTTTAGGTTAGGTTGATAATTATTGATTGTATCACGTGCAAATATTACCTAATACATTGGACTCTAGACTATTACGAAGATGGTGTGAGACACTTCATTGATGACAATTTGTGTTAATTTCCTAAAATTGTAATATGACTATTGAAAAATATTCGAATTGATCATGGTTTGTCACATCTTGGCTCATCGTACCTATACGGTATGGAACTGAAGTGTATGGATATTGAAAAAAACTGATGATAAAACTATCATCGAATATATCGAATTATATTGAAATAAAAAAATAGTTCATAATTTTCAAGATTCCAATTTTGCTCGTGGTTTTGATGTTTCACAAATAACCTTTAGTCCATTCTAGGTATTATAGTTATTATATTTCATGAAAGGAAAACGAAACAGCTCCTCTCCAATCCCTAGTTATTGATGAGAGTAAAGTCCGATGAGATTTTACTGATTTTTATACTGCTACACCGAAAAATTTCATTAGAAAATAATGGTAGTGCTGTTCTTACACTTGGTGCCATCTAGTACTGAGAGTAAAAACTAATTTCGGATGATATTAGAGTTTTCTATATATTAGAACCATTCTATAGTTTCAGACTTCGTAGAGTGAGGACGTAATAAATGACTTTAAAATAATAGTATATCAAATTATAAGTGGATAACTATGGTCATAGTATAAACATATTATCTTTATACTAAAGTCTTTATGAAATTCGCGCGATTTCGGTTTTCGAAATAGTGAAAGTTTTGTAAAGACAATCTATCCTCAAAAGGTTGTCAGACGGCGTTTCGAGAATAACTTATACTCATTTATAGCAGTTCATGGCGAACACTGTGAATTAAAGTAGTTTGCGATGATTGGATTATGTAATTTTTTCAATTTTTGTTCTCTTTTCGTGAATTGTTCACATTACCTTTCAAGTAAAATATAAATTGAAAAACGAAACAGTTGTTTTTCCTGCAATAAAGCGCCAAAATGAAAAGCTAAATTTTTTTTTTATTATTAGTCAGTGGGCTATGCTTGAAGACTAGCAGTAAACCAATCTAAAGAAATTAACTTCAAACGTTCAAGCCAGTCTCGAATATACCTACACAATAGGTTAAATGGACTGACGCCTACCAGAAAACAACTACTCCCCTTTGTGGTATTACCCAGGGTATTAGCCAGGGGAGTAGTTGTTTTTCGATAGGCGTCAGTACATTTAACCTACTGTGTAGGTATATTCGAGACGGGCTTGATCGTTTGAAGTTCATTTCTAAAGAATTGAAAAGCTAACTGGCGAACACTCACATGTCTGAATTCCTTATGGAATTACCTTTTCAATGTTGTGTCATCCTTAGTACTTTCCCTAATCAAATTGTATGAGTGAAAAAGGGGTGGGGAGAGAAGTATGAAAGTTGAGGTAACGATAAGATTTGTCCCCCTTGGATTTAAAATTGACGTGTTTTTGGATTATGTTCACAACACATGTGTTTTGAAAAATTAGTTTTCGGTGTCGGGTTGAATCGAACCATAATTATAAATTTCGTCCGCTATTTTGGAGCCACTATCTTGATTTTATGCATTGAAAAATAATTCATAATTTCCCATCCTGAAAACTACCACTTATCATTTTTGAATCAAATCGGATCATAATTGAAAATCTTGTCCACCATTGTGAAGCCGCCATCTTGTTTTTCCCCTAGAAAAACTCCATAATGCATTGTCACCGAATTTATGTCAAATTAGCTTGCGAATGAAGTATAATTATAAATTTCGTCCGCTATTTTGGAGCCACTATCTTGATTTTATGCATTGAAAAACAATTCATAATTTCCCATCCTGAAAACTACCACTTATCAATTTTGAATCAAATCGGATCATAATTGCAAATCTTGTCCACCATTGTGAAGCCGCCATCTTGTTTTTCCCCTAGAAAAACTCCATAATATATTTTCACCGAATTTATGTCAAATTAGCTTGCGAATGAAGTATCATAATTTGGAATACGGAACAGTTTTTTTCCCGTAAGACGGCGCTAATATCGAAAGTAAGCTAAAATTGACATGGCTGAATTCCTTATGAAATTACCTTTTTAACGATGTGTCACACTTATACTGTCCCTATTCAAATTGCTTGGGTGATAGTCACCGAGGGGTCCCCACCCCTCTTCTCCCGAAGAGGTATGACAGTTGAGGTTATGTCCCCCTTGGATTACAAATCGACGTGTTTTTGCATTTTTTTCAGAACACATGTGTTTTGAAAATATTTGATCTGTTTCGTTTTCGGTGCCCCACCCTGTATAATAACATAATATAATCTTTGGAAGATTTTCACATTTTTATTTTATAATGATGGAGAAGTAGAAAGCCGAAACATTTCTTTCTCGAACAATTTGAATTGTATAACCCTTCACCTACTCAAATGACTGATAATTTTTACCCAAGTTCCTCTTCCAAATGTAATACTTCAGAGTCGTGATTGAACTCATGCCCCTCTGTCAAAAAAAAGGTTGCAATTGTAGAACTAGTACTCACATTCGAACAACTACTCATATGTTCTTTCATTCGCTGAGAAAAGATTCGCCCCGTTTGGCCAATATGAAGTTCTGGACGAGAATCACAACCAAAAATTTTTAGAAAAGGAATGAGTCGATAATAACCACCTTGTAACCGATAACAGCGATTGGTTTGATAAAATTCAGTTAAGACAGTGGAATATTCAATAGTCTGTTAAGCTACTACTTTATGTTGATAGGGATGTGTCCAAAAATTATGTATGACGAAGTCCATATGAGATTTGTGGAATATTGCAAAATCATGTTTGCTTACGTCTCAGTTCTGAAACATTTTAATTTCAACAGGTACGTTGCCCTCAATAAGGCTTTGAAAACTGTTTGGAATTGCAAATAAAACTTTTAATTTCTTCATTAAACACAATTGAAAATACCGAATTTTTAGACACGCCAAAACGTACATCTGGCGGCATCTGGTGGATAATCAGATCATTATTTCCTCAAAAAGGCTTTGAAAACTGATTGGAATTACAAATAAAACTTCAAATTTATTCATTATACACAATTAAAAATACGCAATTTTCAGACACGCCACAAACTTACCTCTGGAGGTATCTGGTGGATAAATTGACCGTTATTTCTTTCAGTTCCAATTTAACAGAGAGGGAATTTCAATTGTCGAAATTTAAGTATCCGCTGCTTTCTAAGGATCGTTTTTATGATTATTCTTGATCATGAGGTAGAAATTTGAAAAAAGTTTTCTGTTATTATCGATAATTTATTATAAATAACCACAAGTGGCCCTAGAATTTGGCTGGGTTATTTGAATTCACGGTCAAATCGAGTTCAAATGTTAGGGTATTTTCAAATTTGAATATTTAGAGTTTAGAGAAATTTTGGGGCCAAGTTAAGTTTTCGAAAGGATGAACAAAATACATACATATTCCTTATTAGCAAGAATAGATTAGCCAAAAAGCATACGTATTCAAGGATAACGATTTGTGGAAGAAGAAAAAAGTTACGGCTAAGACAGTGAAGGCTCGATATCTTGAATTTTACCGACTTCATATATCTCACGGTTTCCGAATTTTTCTATGCAGGCCCACTTTAGCTTGCACCCTGAATATATTGAACTACACGAAAAAAAAAATACATTCGAAACAAATACCTTTATATCAAGACCGAATTATACAAAAAACACTTTTCTCTATTCAGTTTATATTCCAAACATTTGTTATGGAATCGAATCAGATATCATCCACAGGATTGCTACACAATGTAAATTAAAGAGGTACAATTTCACTTACATGGAACAGTGTCATCCTCAGTGATGGACATCCGATGATTCGCCTTGAGACACTTGCCTTACCGGCTCTTCAGTACCAAATATGGATAACATTACAAGAAAAACCACTCTATTCATTCATAAAACTACGACTTCATGTCACATTTATGTGATGAAAATTTCACAGTGAATGGTAATTCGAACATCTACGTTCAAAAATGAAGAAGTAATGATAAGAGTTGTGTGAATCGAAACAATGAGGTCATAATGAAACTGCAATTGTATGTTCAACAGAGTTATCAGTAAAACATAAATGGAACTGCTAGAGACAAGCATTGAGCCTTCTTGGTTATTTGTCTTTCAATGGATGAAGCAGTGCCCAAAAAGCCCACACTTTCGGTGAAATAGAACTATGACATGCGACATGCCCGGATTACCTATTAGGCCAACCGACCTATTGGACAACAGATTGGGAACATATTAAATGATGAAAATTCAAAAATTCCTCAATAATTCTAGAGTGAAAACTAAAAGATAACGCGCAAACTGATAACTGATAAACAACAAGTGTCAAGTCTAGCAGCTTGATTCATTTTTTCAATTTCAATTTCAAAGTGTAGATTAAAACCCGGTATGTTCACCTGCATAAATGATATTTCAATTTTCTACAGACTTGTCAGCTTCTGCTTAATAATCTAAAGTGAATAAAACGTATACAGGATGTAACAAAAAAAGTAGGTCATGATTTTGGAGTCAAAAATTACCTGATTCGATATAACTTACCTCAATGCAAATGTGCATATAAAAAAGTAACAGCTCTTGGAAAGTACAAAATGATTTTTTTTCCAATTATTCATGAACTGTTTATCATTTTGTAATGGAAATGCATCCATGGTTTTCTCATCCTGGGAGCATCTTTTTCATATAGCATAACGTGATCTGTTCAGTTCATTAAATTTTGGGGGGTATTGAACTCCTTAAACCCCCCTAAATTTTCTATGCCTTACAATTGAATTAGTATTGTGACACCATTGGTTCAATACACCATTACTGAATTTTTTTTTATCTCATAGCATTTTTTCGAAAAGTCAGTTTATATCGAGATGCCGGCTCTTTTTCATCATCCTTTGAAAATTCATCAGTTGGCTGTTCAACACTTGTAGTTCCTATGCATAAATAACAAACAGTTGCTTCAATAATTATATACTGTCAATTAAAGCTTTCGATTATTGTGCATTTTGGGAGTGTTGAGAAAAATTAAACTTCCTCTTACAATGGTTTATACGTTTGCAGAAGTGGCAGATATGCATTTAATACTAGGTAAGTTTGGTTAGGTTTCAGATAATTATCTGTAATTCTGGTAATCACACGTGCAGCAAATGCAAGGCGTTTTACGGCAAAA